CTCACTCACCCTCTCGTATTGTGGCAGGACCACTCACCGTGACCCTCGCCTTTTGTGCAGTGACCGAGGCTTGGCTGAGAGGAAGCAATCCCTCCGCTCAGGACCTATCAGTGTCTCCATCTCATGGGGCCTTTCTGCCACCACATTCCTGGCCTGGGTGATCAAGATGGACAGAGGCTAGGCCCCTGCGGAGTGCCACGGTCACTGCTTCTGGCGTGTCCACGTCCCCTGAGCCCAACAGCTCCTCTCCTGGGACTGCAATAGCTCGTGAGAAACCAAACATCCTCTGGCCCCAGCACCCCCAGCAGCAGGACTGACTTGTCTGTCGGCCATCCCCGCCCCTCCCACCTCGGTCCAAGCCCTGGGTCCTGGGAAGCAGAGTTACACATTTAGGGGCCCGGGGCATGACCAAGGATGCCAGAGTCTGCCCTGCCCTGGCCCAAAGCACATGCTTCTGTGCTGAAGAGGAAGCCTCCTGGGCCCCAGCAGGCCCCTCCGCTGTGATCCACTGCAGGAGCACAGTGCCAGCCAGTGCCCACCCACTCCAAAAGTTGCCCGTGAAGACAGATCAGACCACGTGGCCAGCCCATGCACCAGGCTCTCTGCCTTCTTCGGCCATGATCTTGTCAAATCCTCACCACAAGGATGAGAGGTGACTGAGGCTCAGAGAAGGTCAGTGACTTGCCCACAGCCACACAGCAAGTAATTAGCAGAATGGAGCTCTCCGGAGATCTTCCCGTCTGGGAGGCAATGAAGTTGATCCTAAAAACATGGCAGTAACAGCTCACGTGTGTACCATGCCCGGAACAGCCTCGGCCAGCCCACAGAGGCTTAACCGACCTCCAACTCACACGCTCACTGGGCTAGTGACCCCCACCCCACAGACATGGTGGCCACTGTCCTTTTAAGAGCAATCAGGAAATTAAATGATTTACAAACGCACTGGTAGAACACAAGCGCAAGATGAGAACCAGTGCTCCCTCGAAACCATCCGCTTTGCTACGACACCAAAGGGCTGGGTGGGACCACAGGGAAAGATGAGAGAGAAGAAACCACAAGCAACCTCGTGCTCTCAGGTCGTTTGCGCACATCTTCCGATTTGCCCTGACCTGCAACGTTCGTGATTCAGTGGCTCAGGGCACCAGGTCCCCTCTGTCTTTTTGGTGATTTGCGTAATGTGAGAAGATTCTACTCTATTTCTTGACATCAGCACCCGGTTTCAAGGAGAATTTGCCCCCGTGGCGTTGTCTCACTGGCTTACCCCGTGTTGCTGCAGTTTGCATCTGCCTAACTTCAGTGTGCCTCAGTCTCTTCATCCACTTCCAGGGCTGTTGTGAAATCTAAAGGACACCACGAAACGCCTGTGGTGCCTGCCCAATAAACAGTAGTGTCATTGTTGTATTACACTTCTTACCATGGGTACTGGATCCGAAAGTATAGGAGGCCGACTTAGTGTTTTTTCTTTGAGGAGGGGCCCATTGGAATGCAACGGCCACTCAAGGAGATTTGGAGAACCAAGCGTCCTGTGGCTGCAAGACAGAGGTGCTCAAACAGTGAAGTGTGACCGCATGACCGCCCCAACCCCCATCCCGCCCCTCCAGTAGGGGTCTGCACGCCCATTAGCCAAATCCAGCCCCCCGCCCAGCCCGTTCTTCCTGGCACGGGGCCACACCTGTTCCTTGACGTGCTGTCTGCAGCTGGTTTCCAGCTACAACTGGCAGAGCTGAGTGGTGGGACAGAGACTGCACGGCCCACAAGGCTGGAAATAATTTCCCATCGGACTCCTTCCAGAAGCGTTTGCCCGCCCCTGCCACGCACTGCTGTAGTCACGGCAAGCTTTGAGAAAGACCGGCGAGACCAAGTCATTCTGCAGCTTCAACGCTCCAGCTGCTTCTCTTTGCTCTTAAGATAAAAATGCCTTTCTCAGGCTCCCAAGACCCCCCTCCCCCATGGGCCTGCCAAGTCTCCAGCCCCACCGTGCACCCCTGCCCCCTCTTTCCTACCAGGAGGCCACACGGCACCTTTCGGCTCTCCGACACGCCGTGGGGAGGACTTGTGGTGGAGGCAGATGCCCACGCTGCCTGCTGGACTGGGCAGGTCAAGGACAAGTTTGAAGGCCCGGCCTGGATCCTTGGGCCCCAGCAGCCCATTCAGACCTCAGGCCACCCCTGCACTTCAGGGAGGGGACGAGGCTGAGGGCCATCAGACGGTCAGAAACCACGCAAGTTTGAGTTAAGGTTGGTTGAAGGAGTAAAACCTTTTCTGCTGCCCGCAGGCCCAGCCCTGTGCTAGGAGCCAGGGCTCATGCCTTTGCCCCACCTGGCAACTGCTCACAGAGACCAGAAAGCTCCACCTTTAACACAAAGCTGACCGTGCCCACACCCAAGCCCAGAGGGCTGGCCTTGCAGCCTCTTGGCTTCAGCCCCCTGGGCTGACCCCCTGGGCTGCCTGCACTTCCCCAAGCCAGGACTCCTGTGACTCGCCTCCAGGCCTCTGCACGTGCTGTGCTCCCTGCCTGGGTCACTCTCGCTGGCCCAAGCTGAGCTTCAGGTCAACCAGATGCTGCTTCTTGGGAGAAGCCTCCCTGACCCCCAAACTAGGTCAGTGGCCCCTGGCCTCCATCAGACGCCACCCGTGGGAGCTCCCGTCCGCCTTTCTCAGTCCTCGCTCCATGGTAACTCTTTACTCAGAGTCTGCTTCTCCCCTTGGAAGGTCAGCTCCACCAAGGCAGTGACGGTGGCATTTCTGCCCTGTCCCCAGTGCCTGGAACAGAGTCTGCACACACAGAGGATAGCCAACGTTTGTTGAATGACATACTGGGCTTCCAAATGGGCAAAATACTCCCTTGACTCTAGGCTTGCCCCCATCGCTGGGCTGTTAAGGGAGGGAGCGCAGACATGAGCTCCCAGCCCCAGAATCGCTTTGTTGGGAGGTCTCCCCAGTCCCCCGCCACTCCAGGGGTCTCTCCCCGGCCTCACAAAGTTCCAGGGCTTCTGCTCCCCTTGCAAAGGCTCACAGCTGCTACTTACGTGCCGTTCTGAGGCGGGGCCCACCTGACGCACTGGTTCCGCACTTGCCGACAGACCAGGTTCCCGAGGTTGACACGTGAGGACGTCTGAGAGCGGTGAGACTGAGGGAAACCACATGAGCCAAGGGGGGACCCGTTTAGTTTAGTAGATGGCCAGGGTCCTCAGGTGCACACCCGAGTCATCTCACAATTTGACGTCTTTGGAGTCCGGTGCCTTGCCTGTAGCAAAATTTGAGTTGCATCGCTTTATTTCTGGGAGTCCTTTCTGGTTTGTTTTTTCAAATTTTCTCAGTTGTGATATGTATATTATACTGCAGGATCCCCCACATTTAGGGGAACATTAAGCAGAAAGCCATTTCCCAGGGAACTAGGCTGCAGATAGGGCCTCCTGGTCTCAGCACGTTGCTCCTGTGCACAGTTCTGAGCGGGAGACTGTCCCCCGACGGGCATTTGTGGGGTGGCCGCGCCAGAGGCCCTCGTGCAGCTGGCCCTGGCCACCTCGTGCAGCTGGCCCTGCGATTTCACAAGGAAAGTCAGAGCAGCGCTCATGGAACTGAGGAGCCAGAGGCACCTCGGAGGACTGGCCTGATTTTATTTTGGTTTCCACCCCACGTTTGCCCCCTGGTATTCCAGTCGAGCCCTCCTCAAAGCTACAGATGCCAGGGTCTGTATTTAACTTGAATGAACTGCTGCGGAGGAGTCCGGGCCTGGTCTGACCTGGTTCTCAGGGAATGACCCCTGAGCTTGGAGCATCTATTTTAAAGGAGGCTGCCATTTGGTCTTTGCCAAAATAGTTGAAAGAAGACCCCAGAATAGCAGGCTGGGTCTGCCCCGGCTTAGAAGCCGCATCTCAGGCTTAGAGGCAGGCGTGTGAGATGTCAGGGAGCAGGCGGCAGAAGCAGAAAAAGGCCTCGTCACCGAGGCCAGAGGCCCAGGCGTGGCCCTCGGCCGCCTGGCAGGCCCGGCAGCCCTGGCCTCGCAGCAGCGGGAGGCCCCAGGGTGATGTTAGAGAGGCAGAGGGTTCGGGGTGCAGATGGGAAGGGAGCCCCTGCTCCTGCCCCTCATCCACCCACTCCCCTAAGAGGTAATGCTGTTCTCGTCCATTTTACAGATGAGAGGACTGAGGTGAGAATCTGCCCAAGGCCTCACAGCCAGGGTGAGGGTGGAGCCAGACGTCCCCAGAGGCTGCATGGAGCCTTTGTGGCTCCCACCATCCTGTGGCAGCATTAAAAATGGTGAAGGTAAGCAGGGAAAGAATGATTCAGCTACTGCAGGTGATGCCACCTGCTGCTTGATGAGCCCTGGAGGAGGCAGAGGGAGGGGAGGGAGCCCTTGACCCCCATCAGGGGATCAGCTCGGACCCCCCCCCCTCCTGATTAGGAGATTAGAGTCAGCACAGAGAGTATCTTTCATCTGATGTTTCCCCTAAAGGCTGGAGGCAGCCTCATGAGAAGACAGATGCAGCTGGTGAGGTTGACACTGAAGGGAGAATGTCCCGGGGACCTGACGGAAGACAGGGGGGAAGGACCCACAGGGGGGCAGGACCCACGTAGCAGAGGCTTCGGGAAGGATCCTTCAGAACACATTTGGCTCAGTGAGGTCTTGCTTTGTCCACATCCACGTTAATCCCCCCTTAAGCTACCACCCGGGACGTGCCACATGTACCTGGGGCAGCCACCTCTCCTGGGCCTCAGTTCCCTTGTCGGTGAGTTAGGAGGAGCAGTCGCTGCCCAGCTCTTGGAGTCATTGAGGAATGAGTGAGAAAACAGGGACCCACTGACGGGCCTGAGGGCTACGCCGGCTTTCCCAGGCACCCTTGCCCCTGCCCTGAATTGCTGGATCACCCACGGGTCACCCTCAGAGTCCGAATGCAGCCCTTTAAACCACCAGTCTCAGAGCCGGGACCTCAGCCTGCTGCGTGCAGAGCTGGTCACCAGGTGAACCGAGGCCCAGGTCATGCGGGTGTCCAGGCATGGATGTGCTCACCGAGCCTCTTCCCAGTGAGCTCCATGAGCACGATCTACAGATGGCAGGCTGCTCTTGGGGACTCATGGTGGCCTCCAGTGCCATTCCCAGGACCATCCAGGTGAGTGCCTTTTGTCCCAGTGCAGTAATGAAGAGCACCTCCTTTCTCTCTCAAAAGTCCCACTTTGGACTTTCAGAGGGTCCCCTTTTGATGGGAGTTTGGACTTGAGAGATCAGACAAGACTTCCCTGAAAGGTCAAGGTCGAGCTGAGGTCTGAAAGGTGAGGTGGGGAATGAGAAGTTCTCAGAAAACTCTCCCGTCCATGCCCACCACCACGCCCGCCTCCTCTTGAATAGAAGGAACAGATCACCCGCTCCCAAGTGAGCGCTCCCTTGGGACAGCTCTGCGCCTGAGAATGCACCAGGTGCCCTGTGCTTCCTCTTTCCCACCTTCCCTTTCACCTTGGTCTTTCTCCCACTTTACAAAAGAAAGGCCCAGCACTCCTCAAGTGCAAAAGCCTCAGGGCACCAAACAAAGGGACGATGTGGACTGCCAGCATGGTGACACTCCTTCCAGCTCTCTCTGGCCTGGAAGCAGCCCCCTGGCAGGGTGAAGGGAGACAGGAGGAATGGGGCAGTTTGGTCTGCACTGGGGAGCTTGGACGCAGATACCTTGCAGAGTGGAGGCCTGGAGGTGTGACGATTTCTTTTAACAACCTTGTGTCTCCCAAGCCACACACTCAGTTGACAAAGATGGGTTAGTCCTGAGAGAGAGCCCTGGGCAAGCACGCAAGGGTAGGGGCGGCTCCTGAGGTCATTAGGCGTCCAGCTCAAGGCAGAGGTCTGGCCCTTTTCCTCTACTTACATCTCTACGTGTCCCCTACCATCTCCCTTAGAGTTAGAAATCAGAAATCGCAGAGTAAGCTGCTGGTTTGGATGGGAAAACCCAGTCAGCTGCCTTCTGATTCTAAATCTGGTGTGGCCCTCTCACCGTGAAGACTGGCTTTGCTGATTGCACCGCTATACGGCAAAAACTTTCTATATGTCAGGTGAGCTAAGTTGGCAGCTCCAAGGTCTGGAAAGAAACATGTAAAATGCATGATGCATTAGAAACTTTTTGTCACTATAGTGTTGGCTAAGCCACATTGAAATTAGCCATAGTCCCCCCCCCCCGCCCCTTCTGCCCTCTATAGGGTTTAACAAGGTTCCTTCCAGTGAAAGACCAACTGGCATAATTCATGGTTCTTTCATAGGTCTTGGTAAAAAGACCTTTGGCTAAACTTTCCAGAAGCCGAAAAAGTACAGCTCCAGTGACTGGTGACAAATCCTTTGCTGATTCAGGCAAAGACTCAGGAGCTTTTGCTGTCAACAAATTAAAAGAGGAACTAACAAAGTTGTCGTCAGATAGAGCAGTAAAAACCATTTTTCATGATAAATCACATGCAATTTTGAATGTATGCTTTGGTGGGTGTTGTCACCATAACAAAACTTCCCTTCTGCCTATTCATTTCTGTGAACAGGCTTCTCAGCTTTTACACCTATAGAAAATGGAAGTAAAACTGAAGCCAAACCCCATGTTATTCCAGAAATAATAATCATATGAGATAATTAAATTTCTACCTCCATCAAATTAAGATTCATTTCCAACAGAATTTTATCTGTGCTCTTTACTTATCAGTTATTTGATTAACTCTTTATTAATAATAATTGTGATGAAAACAAAACCCAGAACAAAAACATTTAATGCTAATAGCCATAGGACATTAGTTTTTAAACTAATTCATAGAAATACTTTGGTTGCAGAGAATTATGACAGAGTGACCAATAAAACACTCTCAAGGTTAAAACTACATCAAATTTGGGTAAAATTGGTGAGGGAAATAGAACGAAAATATAAATACAAAGGTAAAAGGTAAGGGTTTGCAATTTTTATCTATTGGAGTACTTAATTCATGTTCTTTTTTTAAAACAAAATTTGACAGACATCAAATGGTTATAGTTTTTAGACTCCACTGGACACATTTAAAAGAGTAACAGAAGAATTTTCCTTTAGATGCCAATATTTAAGATATTCTAGAGTTTACATTTTTGGCAGCTATTTGTAAGAAATTTTGGATTTCAGCGTAAGGAGGTATGAGAGAGCCAACTCAGCTGTACACGAGAGGATGAAGACAGTGCTGAGGATGACGGGTCAGAAAAGGAGCTGGTGTCCCTAATGGACACCTGCTGCCTGTGAAGAAAGGACACCTGGGCTGGGCAGGGCCACAGGAGGCACCCCCTGCTGGCTGAGGCCCGAGACAGAGGACCCATCACCCCGGCCCCCCGTCACTGCCGAAGTCCTCTCACCCGCTCCCCTGTCCCCTTGGACAAAGAAACACATGTGTCTCCCAAGAAAAAACTATTTTCCAGACCAAGGTCAATCTAAATCCAAATTTGAGTGAGGGCATGGATTTATCTGGCCCTTCCGATCATCTGGATTTATGTAACCTACGTAAATTATAACACTGAGTTCAGAACTGCTCAAGAGCAAAGAAGACTTGCCTTCTTAGGAACAAGGGAACTCTTCCCTATCAGGGGAGGACGGGCCCCAAAGCTCAATGCTGGTTTCTGCCTTGAGATCGCTTGAGGGTCCCTCCCACCCTGAATGGCAAGACGTCCAGCCTTCGATAGAAGGCTCCTGTCTAGGGGCCATTGGAGACACCTGTCCTTGGGTTTCCTCCCAGATCTGGGTCCCCAGGAAGCAAGTCTCTTTGGGAGCAGGATGAAACCAGGAGAGCGAGAAGCCTCAGCCCGCCCCCCACCCGCCTCATGCCCCCCACTTCTGCAGACCCGATGAGCCTGGGGACAAGCCTCTGAGGACGGTCAGTCCTAGAGATGACCAAGAGGACTGAAATGGTGGGAAGCCGAGGTCTGGCCATGGAAACAAACCTTCTCAGAGAACGAAGGGCCCCTCCTCTAATCTCCCCCTCCCCGCATTTTTGTTGGCTTTCCCATTTCATAAGGAGGATCCCATTTCATTAGATCCTCCCAGAAACCCTACTAGGTGAGCACCATTATAGGCCCAACTCTACATAAAAACCAACAAAGGCTCAGAGAGGGTGAGTGACTTGCCCAAGGCCACACAGCCCACCAGGGGAGGGGCCGTCACTGGGACCCAGCTTGTGTGCAACAAGTCCCCACAGGTTCCATCATGCCACCTAAGTTATCAACCCTTGATCTGGGGCCTGAGATCATTCCCCTGTAAGCAGGTGAGTCAGGCCAGGTGTTGCTTTTGGATTTTTCCAGGCTCTGCTGACCTGAAGGGAGACAGAGGGAAAGAGAAGAGACCATCTGGGGCACGATGCCTCACAGTTGCAAGAAAACGGTGTCCAGAACCTTCCCTAGGCCTAGAGAGCCCATCCAGGGCACTGTGGGGGGTGGGGGGTGTGCAGTGGGGGGAGAGGCTGACCTTTCTTCCACCTCCCAACACCCCCCACCTCACGATTACTCTGAGGGCCCCGTGGGCCAGAATTGAGAGGGATTTGGGGCTGGGGGGCATTTCCCATCTTGTCTTATTGTGTGGGCTGAACCCCATGCCCACTGCTGTGAGCGGACCCCTGGAGTTGCCAGGGAAGAGAGTGGACCTCGACCTCAGTGTTTCTGGGAAACCCTGAGCAGGGGACGGATCCACACCCCCCACCCTTTGGATGCCCTCGACCCCCAGCCTTCCTGGTGGTCAGCCCATCAGGCCCATAGGGGTGCCCCTTCCTCTGCTGGGGAAGGCTGTGAGGAGGACACGGGATCTGCAGAGACTCCCCGGCAAGCCCCATGGGGTGAATCCCCCTCTGACGAGTCCAAACCCCTTCGCCGGTCCACAGGCCTGCCCACTCCTCCAACCTCGTGCACCCACCCGGCCCCCAAGCACTAGCTTCCTGGAGCTGCCTGGAGCACCTGTGTCCCCCCTCTTGGCTGGCCCCTTCTCATCATCTAGGTCTCGGCTGGAATGTCCCCATCCCTAGGACCCCAGGACTCTCCAGAGTGGGTGCTCCATGAAAACTGGTCCAGCTGATGGGTAGACAGACCCCCGAGTGGGAGGACTGGGCCCCTGGGTGACCTGGGTGAAGCCCTTCCACCCTCCGGCCTTCCACTGTCCTCCGTGAAGCAAAAGGGTCAGATTCGGCAGCCTCTGGGGGTCCTCTCAGCTCTGACCATCTTTGCTGTATTACAGAGACTGTGGGAGGTTGGGGGCTTGATCACATATTTTACGACCTCCCAAATGGACAAATGGATAGAGGCTGTCACATCAGCGCATGGAACTTCATCCCCACTCTGGAACTGATGGAAGATTTTCACTTGCACAGTTTGAACTCCTAACGTCCCAGTGAGGTGGACAAGGTCCGGACCACGAGCTCCATTTCTTAGGAGAGGGAACTGAGGCAGGGAGCAGCATGGCTGGAGCCTGACTTCAATGCCCAGTGCTGGGGTCTGGGCCTGGCTCTGCTGTTTTCTAGCTTGGTGACCTGGAGGTTGCTGCTGCAGTGCCCCAAGCTTCGGTTCCTCCTTCTGTAAAATGGTGACGGTAAGCAGGCCCCACCTCATGGGCTGGGTGAGGACAGAGGGCGGTCAGCCTTGCAAAGCCTGGGTGAGCATGGCGCCCAGCTCCCTAATAAACATTGAGGTGCTGATTCTTATCTGGAGAGGTGCTGGCGATCTGGATGGTTCACAGCCTGGGGATAGGGCACCAAGCGCTTTGCACGTCTAATTCTTCCAGTTCTCTTAGCGACCTCATGAAGGTAACATGCTGGGTACTGAGGGACTAAGCAAACCGCCCACAGTCATTGGTGAGGGAGGGCAGGTGAGGGGGTGTGCCGGGCGCCTGGCTCCACAGACCTGTGGTCAAGCAGGCAGCAACACCTCAAAAGCAATACACCTGTGTGCCTTGCCATGACAGCGTGTGCCTGCCTGTTCTAAGGGTTGAACATGGGTCATCTCATTTAATCCTCCTGGAAGCCCTCCAAGGTGAGAACTCTGGTGTTCTCACTTTACAGATAAGGAAACTGAGGCATGGTTTCTGTCCAATCCTCCCAGGTTTGAGTGTCTAATATGTGCAAAGATTTGCACACCTGTGCATCTGGATGGCCC